AAATATTTGGTGATGTGAACATGATCTGCAATGTACTCCACAAATTTAACTGCCAACTTCTCTTGGGCTGCCATAGTCCAAAGAAGAGTTTAACACATTAGCAAGAAAAGTAATACCTACAGGAAAAGCAAAGTCTCTCTGATGGAGAAAAGTTTGCAAAATCTCATGGGAAGATTAATATAGCCTGAGCTTAATGGATCTATAGATTGCATGTAATATTTTGTGGTTGGAAAGAGGAGAATCAATATATTTACTTTCTGTCTCTGCTGTCACCTGTGGGCATCACATTCAAAGGGCCTGGTGTTTTGATTTCCTACTGAATGAGAGAACATGGAGTTTGGAGCACAAACAGAATAATTGTGTAACAGATATGGATTTTCTTTATAAATAAAAAATCCAAGGTGCCTTCAAGCCATTTCCCCCTTCTTAGAGGCTGCATATGACCTTTTAAGATTCAAAAGGTCTCTGCTTCTGTAGATGCAGCTAAAAGGTTGAGCAGTTAGGGCTATTTATCTATAAGGAGAACTCCTCAACTGGTGTAAACTGGTGTAGTAGCTCCACTGAAGTTAATGACCGCACACCTGCCTGCATGAGTGCAAGATCAGTTCCACACAGCTTACCGCAGCTCACCAGGACATCCTCCCTGTTCCGATCTTTAGAGGGAAAACAAAAGCCTATATCTTGCCTACCACAAATGTGAAGCCATGTGTTACTTATTAATGCTTTTTTTTAAAGGGTCTGGGCCTTTTTATTCTTTTTCACTTGTTCTTCTGGGCACGCTTATCACAAATTAATGGAAATTAAAGATGGAGACACTTTGAGGCCCATCTTTTGTTGACTTGCACAATCGTGCAGTAGATGGCCAGACACATGCCTGATGGTCACTGCTTTTGGTGCCCTTTATGCAGTGCTGCCTTTTGAAACAAATGGACTCCTTCTATGTGCCCCTATCATCCTCCACCTCCAAAAAGTATGGTAGATGCATGCAGAGCATTTTCCGTCTGCTCAGCTGCAAAAGTAATAGAAGATGGACAGCCAATGCAGGGTGCTGCTCTGGTAGGCAACTTCCACCTTCCCCCTCACTCCATCACCTGAAACTCTAGGCAGTTTGTCTGCGATCATGGATTTGAAGACCTACAAGTAATCTCTGCACCCCTGTAGCCCAGGAAGTTTGCTTAAAACAAGAGTAAAGATTATAAAATGATGCAAATATTCTGAGCTGGCATTTTGGGGTAAAATGAGGAAATGTTACAGTTCTTATTTCCACATTTAAAGATGAACGTATTCTGTGGTTTTTCAGATTTTTGTCAGCATTCACTGTTTTTTTTCTTTGTTTTCTTCTTCTGTTTTCCCCTCTCTTTTTCAGCCAGTCCTTTTTAATTTTTTTTTAAAAAGTCATTTTTAGAAGGGCCTGAGATGCCTGTAGGCAGGGCTGACTGAAGGGCCTGGGCTGTCCTAGCTAACAGTTGACAATTTAATTCTTGCTTTTGTGCAAATGGACTTATTTGGGGCAATCCAGACTTGCAAATTGAGAAAAAACATAATCTGGAAGAACTAGCTGAGTAAGGATGTCCTATGGATTTCCCAGTTTGACAGCAAGGAGGGTTTTGTTCCTTTTCCAATACTAAAGCAGCTCTGTGACCTGCCACCCTCAGCAGCAGCCGTACTTATGGACAAGACTCTTGCTGCATGAGCTAGGACAGTTAAAAGCCCCAGAACTGCTTAGAACTTGAGAAATTCCCTGGGGCTACATCCAACATGCTTTGTCAATGAAGAGAAACTCTAGCAGTCGCCTTAACATTTTGCACTTATATAAGGAGTTACATGATACGTGTAGCTCCACTGGATGCTGTTGTTCCAAAATTTCGCATCTTGTACCTGAGGTACGTGCATGCCTAGAGTAAGAGCTATGTCGGCTACAACTTTTTGGAGAGCCCCAATTACTACAGGGAAGTCACTATTCCTTATATTAATAAATTGAATATGAACACGGGGGATAGAGCAGCCCCAAGTATAACTTTAATTTCCAGCTCTTTGATACTCATTTTCTATTTCATAAATACATTTCCTGGTTTCCTAAAGCTAATTACTTTCTCTAATAATGGCAAGATCCTGGTTTTGTTTCAAAGCAAAGGTTCATGCAATTAAATCTCAGCAGCAAAGGCCTACAAAATCTGCTCCAAAGCCTCACTTGGCATGTGACCTTCAGCTGAACTGCTTCATTAAGCCAGAGATCTTGGAGACAATGTTTGCTGAATAAAGTCATTCCTAATTAATGCTAAAATGTCAAGGATTCATTTGCCATCCCTTTTTGCCCCTTTCCTTTTAACACTTAATTATCTCTTTAATGAGCTACTAATATGAAAGCCAAGTGCAGTATTTTATATATATATAACATAACATATAGGACGATGCAATGAAAATTTTCCAACAGTATTTTGCCAAGTGGAGATCAGAGGCTGTGTATAATATTACATCTTTCCTACTTGTGCTCATTATCTTTTACTTTGAAGGTCTTGGGCTGCCATTAAATTTGGATGAATTCACCGTATGATTAATAAAAGTAGTAATTTTTAACAGTGGTTGTCCTCGCAACCTTTTTAACACTGCCTTGAAAAATGGGAAAATAATATTATATCACTGTATTTAGCATTTCCTATACGTATAAAAACATCATCCTTAAACATGGGGAATACTGCCAATATTGAATTAATGCTATCTAGCTATTTAAAGCAACCAGAGAGCTTTTGATGACCTCAGTATAATATTGTATCACATTATTTATTATGTGATGCTAAAAATATAGAATCATAGACATGTAGGGCTGGTGTGAAGGCAGCCACCTGGTCCAACCCCATGCTCAAGGCAGGATTGTCCCTAACTAACCCTCCCAGTCAAGAATTTTTCTAACAAAGCTGCTTTAAACAATAAAAAATTAAGGCCCTGTTCATAAGAACTAAAAGCTTGATGAATGATAAAATCAGTGGTGGTCATCATGGGCCATATCCTAATCATATGATTTAATAAAACTGCCCCTGACCTCCAACAAGCTTGATTTGCTTTTCAATTAAAAATGTTCATTTTATCCACATCATCTCAGACCAACAGCTCTCAAACTCAGGTTTTGTGATTCTCATCCATTCAAAACAGTTTATCTTCAACCATTTGCCAAATTATGTAGAAGGATGTTCTTATCATTGGTCGTTCTGAGTACTGAGGAAATAGGATGAAACCATCAAAGTTTTCTACATGTCTTTTTTCCTATTTATATATTATAGAAAAAAAATTAGGACAGTTTACACAGAGTAAATATGTTATGTAACATGTCTAAACTCTTTCTCCATACAGCAATATGTAGAATTCATTGCCTGCTTTTTTGTTGTTTTATGGGACAGAGCTTGGAGCATGCAGTGTACCCCTGGAAGTCCAAAAAGCCACATATAAAGGTGTGCATGTCTGTTTGCAGTGCAGACCAGGCACAGGAATTCTTAGTAGTGCTGTGCACAAAATCCATAGGCCAAAACGCTGAATTGGCCAAAAGTTTGAATGTCCTCTCTATCCTTCCTGCAGTGTAGAAGTAGCTTACTAACGCAATGGTCACTTCTAGGACTGGATTCTCTGCAACTCCATTTCTGCAGCCTTCATGGATCTTAGTCTCACATTAAAAGAATAAAACCTGTTTTCCTGCATAGCATTCTGTACAGCATATGTGGTCCCTTCTGTCACAGTTTAATCAGGATGACTCATATGATATTAAACCTCTTAATGAAAATAGATTGTGTTATTCCCTTTTGCAAAAATGAGAGCTTTAGTCTTCCAAATGCCAGTAATCTAAGCTTAGGATTTCAAAATATTATTTTTTGCAGGCTTTTTATATATCCAGAACCTGAAACTGTCTTTATAGAAAGGCAAGTTACGGTTAGAAAAAGTAGTAGAAAATAAAAGTGTCTAGGGCTAATATCAGGTCAGCATAAAGGACATTCCCAGCCCTCCCATGATGCCAGGTATGTTTTTTTCTGGTTACTGTCCCCTACACATACATGCACACTTCAATTCAGGCATAATTTTACTGGCTTTTCTCTGATCACCCACACCATGCTGCTGCGTTACACCTGGAATCCCAATCTCTCTGATCAACCACTCCATGCTGCTGCGTTACACCTGGAATCCCAATGGTAGAAAGCATTAATTTCTACTTCTACTGTTTACAGTGTATTGGTGTGAAAAACTGGTGCAAAAAGTGAAATGAAGATAAATTCAAGGTGGCATCAGGAGAGTATAATTTTAAAGCCAGATATGACATTAAATGTCAAGGCTATATGCTCTGTTGCAGACGAGTCACCTTTTCCAAACCTGGGACAGTGATAAGAAAGTTGAACATGTAGTCCTTGACAAGTGCTGCAGCAGGTTCAATCTACAAGATTTTGTGACGCCATTGCAAGGCAACAAGAGAGCAAGATCGCAGTCTTTGTCATGTTTTGAAAGGGCCAGTAGTACCGTGACATATCATTCTTTGTTACTGGAGGTGAATTACACATCCAAACACTCAATATGTATAGCAAGTCCACGTTATATATGGGCACATCGCTCTCTGTGGTACCTCTATTACAGTGACCGGAGGGCCTTCTATAGTGCCTTGAGCAAGTGTCATATTGTTAGCAATCTGATGTTCCTAGAGCAGAATAATTATGCCTAATAACCTACATCTTTCCAATAATTATCAATCATATCAATTATTTTGCATTAACTGACCTGAAGAATAATGCCTTGTATTAAAAAATGTGCTCAACTTGTCCTGAGTATGTAGTTGGTCCAATAAAAGATATCACCTAAGGAAATCCTTGCCTCTCATTAATTTAATGAGCATGTTTCCTGATACTCCTGTTGGTTCTATGCTGTAGTGTGATTAGCCTGGGATTTTCAGATCTGTGCTGTTTGATTTCATTGCTAACTAGTAATTTACCTCTAATAGCCTCTCTGTGTGTTTGTGTTTTAATTAGAGGAGATCTTGAAGACCTATATTGCACATTGGTGGTCTCCTGATGGCACCAGGTTAGCATACGCAACAATAAATGCCTCCAGAGTCCCCACCATGGAGATTCCTGTATACACTGGCAGTCTTTATCCTACTGTTAAAACATATCATTATCCAAAGGTGAGGGAAAATAAAAACTTTAAACAGCCTTGTTGTGTTAACTTTTTGAATTTTTCATGGTTTTTGCTTCCAGCTGACTCAGCTATGAGAATATGTAATAGAGCATTTTCATAAGCAAGCAGTAAACAGAGAAAAGATCAGTTGTTCCCTGTTGAATAGCAGTCTTCATTACTCTTTATTTGCATCTACAAAACCACATTTTTCTGATGCTAGTGTTAGTCATTCAAAAATTGAATGAGAAAAAGTACAATGTGAACATTTTCCCCTTGTACAAAGGAAAAAAGCAATTGGGTTTTTATGTCAGGAGTTCATCTACCCATGAGTGTCTGCAAATAAATGATATTATATTTGTTACTTTTGTGTTTTTTATATCAAAGGACACATGAAGAAAATGCATAACGTAGGCATTCCTAGAAAATTCAGCATAGCATAACATCAGGACAGATATTCTGCCTTTTGAGACAGGTTGCATTCTAGCTTTACTGAAAGAAAATGAGAGAGATGGAAAAGACCCGAAGTTTAACAGGTCTATGCCAAAGAGTATCACCAAAGGTGGGCAGCACCTTGTCCAGATCTCCATGGGTGGAGATGATTATCATTGTTCTCATAATTTTTACAGTGTAGTATGTAATTGTACTATGCTACAGAGCCACCTGCAAAAGGTATCTAACCTACCTCAATCCTGTGTGTTAAGTTGGGCCAAACTGAGCTACTCCTTTACATGGGGAAACATGCAAAGAATTGTCAAAGGAAGAAGTATTGATTCAGAGGGAAATGCTCTTTCCTACAAGTCGGTATTTAATCATGTCCAACTTGCTGCTAAAGAACAGCCTGCCATTTTCAAACAAGGGGTAAAACTGAAATCCTGTCCACTTGTCATAAAACATACCACAACCTTTATGAAAGGTGTTGGTCTCAGTATTTCAGCCAGATTTCATTCTAGGGGCAATCACATTTTGTCTACCTAGATTGCTTATACCTCAGTGCCTACTTTAAAAAGTTAGATGGCTTTTTTTTTAGCTCTGGATGGTCCTCTGCAGACTTTTAACACAAAACCTGCCTATACTTTGATATATTAAAAGTTCGTTTTGTGTGTAGCCCTTTCTGTAGTAACTTTTTATCATGGCACAGTATTTTAGGCTGTGTTCAGTTGCAATAAATTAAAGTAATTTATTTTGAATTTCCAGGCTGGAATGGAAAACCCAACTATTTCTTTACACGTGATTGGTTTGAATGGACCTACACACGATCTGGAAATGACTCCCCCTGATGATCAAAGAATGAGGTATGTTTCTTAGTATGTTGTCCCTGCCAATCTTACACCATAACTTTCAATCAAAAGCATTACTTTACTCCCCTGCTATTAAATAATTTCAGTCTTTGCAAACCAAAAAAAACCCCTTGAAACTCAGAAAAAAAATGTCCTTTTTTAGTGTGATTTCCTTTCCTGTTGAAATAATTACAGTTAGGATTATCCTGCTTTCTTCTGAGGGAAGTTTTCTGATTGATCCAAAATCCACAACAGCAGATTCCTTAAGCATGTTATTTTTGAACATTGTAAAGACCGTGCTATAATGCAGCAAATGGAGGGACTGTCATGCTAAGCTAAGACACAGGAACAACAGCAGCACTCATGAAACTCAGCTGGTTCAGGACTTAAACACAGGTTAACCATTTAACTTGGTTTTAAGCACGTGCTCAAATGTTCAAATGAACACGGGCCTACATTTTGTGGTTTCATGGAAGCTTGAAAACAAGTCTGTAAAAAATAGTATCCTGCACTGAGGTAAGCAGTAGGACTGTGTGACGCTTTGGTCCCTGAGTCGATTTGGCAGAGAGAGAGCCCGATTTGGTGGCCGAATCTCTGAGTCAAAATCAAATCAGAGGATCCTTTAACCTCCAAATTGAATTGGAACCTCTGAATCAATTTAGGGAGAATCAGAAATATTCAGAAGTTCGGACATAGGCGGCTTTAAATGCTTTTTCTATGTACCTCTAGGTAGCAGGGGCTCGTGAACGCTGCAATGCTGGGGCACATGGAGTGCCCACAAAAGCACAGGAGGCTCCTCACCGTGCTCGGCAGCAGACATGGAAGTGGCAATTCTGGGTCTGCTGGGGAGTGTGCAGGGGCGCCCCCCTGGCTCGGTGACTGGTGCCTCCTGGGTCTGGGGTGGGCACCCAGGGGTCCCTGTATGGCCGATCGCTGAGCCAGGGAGGTGTGCGGGGTGGCAGCGCACTCCCTGGCAGACCCTGAAGTGGACCGGAAGTACTTCTGGTCCACTTCTATACTCGCCGCTGAACACATCGAGGGCCCCCTGCACTCCTGTGGGACGCTCCATGCACCCCAGCATCGCAGCGATCACGAGCTGCGCCTGCTACCTCAAGGTAGATAGAAAAAACTTTAAAGCTGTGTCTGAATCGCTGATTCTACAAATCAGCATTGAATCTTCAGATTCGGATTCGGCTGTATGGAATCAGGGACAGTGATTACTGTCCCTGATTCGGGCTGAATCCGTATAGAATAGGGCCCGCTTTGCATGGCCCTAGTAAGCAGCTGCTATAATCTGTCTACCTTCAGGTCTAATTTATTGCTTTAGCTCACAGCAGTCACTTCCAAGCCTGGAGACTGGAGGCCACATTCTGATTTCCTTAATCAGACAAGTATCTGAAGTGCAAGTCTAACTTCAGTGGATTTACACCATTATAAGTGAGAGCAGAATTAGCTTCTTTGAGCCTATTAACAAATCCAGGTAAACCTATAGACACTGCATACAACAAATGAACTTGCATGTTTACAGGGCTCACGAGTCTGGTGGGGGTAATTTTCCCTGGACATGACATACATAAAAAGCTGATAGTTAGTTGAGTACACTGTGCCACACAAGTGGTCCCAAGCCACGGGACCTTCTGTGAGTAAGTTGTCCTCCACTGGAAAGAGTGTCAGAATGTGCCTCGTAGTGTTTTTTTCATGCTATTTAAGTGCTCTGTTATGGATCCATTGGTACTGCAGAACCATGGATGAGTACACTCAATATGTAGATAACAGGGCTTGCCTTTCCAAAAGGAATTTAAAGTCTATATGCAATAAGTACTGGTTCCCAGGAAAGCTCAAAACCATTGTCCTTGAATGTTGCCATTTTTCTGTTGGAGTATTGACCAGAAAAAAGAGTAGTCTTTAAACAAGAAAGCTAACATTGGCATTCTTCATCCTGGCTTTATTATAATAATTGCTTGAAAGTTAATTTGTGCAACTGCAGCTTCCATGTACTCTAATAAATATGTGCAGTCTGGGGTTCATTTGCTATAATTAGTATGGATGACTATAATGTATTTATTTGATTATAATTGATATTGTAAAAGAATGCAAAATATATCATAATTAACAATCCTTCCTGTATATTTCATCAAAAACCTAACACTGCCAGACCCCAGAACACAGAACAAGTCTTGCTGGTAGACCCATGGGGGTACATATTCATTATGCATGTATTTTCTGAAATGAGAGGATTAGTGTGATTGCATTTCATTAGGCTTGACAATGAGGATAGGCTGTCACGTTGGTTACAAAAAGGAGTTTTGAGGAGGAAAGGAGTACTTCTAAAAGGATCTCGAAGCAGAGAAGTGTTATGTAAAACATTTAAATGTAAATAAACCTAAAGGTTCATGACTCAGTTCAGGATGATGATGTCACAGCTCTTCCTGATATGCTGAAGTTCCCTTAAAACATTCTTTAGTGCAACTAGGAGAGCTAGAAAATAATTTTTCCTGTTATTTTTCATAGGAAATTTCAAATTTGTTTCTAAAATCCCCATGCAAAAAATATTTCAGTAAAAATAAAGATTAAGAAGATAAAAGAAATGTTATTTTGGAAATCTGTTTCTGGTCAAAGTGTACCATTTTGTAGTAAAATGTTTCTATTTGCATAAGCTGAAAACAGGATGTACTTACCCCAAAATATACATTTTTGCAGAAAAATGTTACAAAAAACCTCTGATTTTCAATTTCATGTGTTTGCCAAAAAAGCAGCAAACTGTGACCCTAATGAAAACCCTTTGTTTCTGAGCACCAGGCATCTTTTAATTAAAAATGAGCAAGTAGCAAATAGCCTGCTCTATTGGGTTGTACACAGTACACACAGGGTCATGAGCCAGCCTCTTACCCAGGCCTGATATCCACTCCTACTGAGGCATTATGGGCACTTACACACGCTCCGGGAGGGGGGATGCTTTAATTAGAGTGGGTCCACAAGCTGCTCTAATTAAAGCACCACCACATCTCCTGTATCAGCATCCCCATGCTTAAAAATGGTGATGGGAGCGCTCGAACTAAAGCTCATCAAACAAGCTTTTTGATCAGCGAGCCCCTGCCATGAGCCATGATCAGCGACCGCCTGCAGATGCTGCTGGCAGTGTTGGCTGCGGCCAATCTCAGGGGGTGCACTGCCAATGTCAGGGGGTGCACGTGCACCCACATGTACCCCCTATGCATCGCCAATGCCATTTCCTATTATTACGATGCCTTCATAGTTTGGTTTTAGATTGCTAACTCCAAGCCATCCATGTGGTTCTTAGATGGGAAATGTCTCGTGATGAAAATAAAGTCTCAGGATGAAACTGTTTTTGATGATTTATGACATGAGGCAGCCTGACCTTCTTCAGTGGCCCAGATAAATCCTGACAAACTTCTGAATCTTTCCGAACAATTTCCTGTGAAAACAAATGTGAATTATAATAGTTTTTATCATTCCTCATCTGTATTACAGTGGAGAATTGGGGTCTCATGTTCCAGGCTGTACTACCAGTACCTCTCTCAATGAGTTCATCATCTAGGATTATTACAGGGTACAACAGATGTGCAAACCACACAATATCACAGTTGAGACCGGGTAACTGGATAAATGAGGATTTTCCATAATAAGCAGAAGTCTCAGTTTATGACTTGCCCACTCAGAGAGAAGTAGTATGGCTTAGCGCCTTGGCTGATAACCTATGATTTTCAGGACCCCAATTCCACATTCACCACATTCCTGGATATGTTACTAAGGCCAGATACTAAGCTGCCTAATGGGACTTAGATGGAATTTACATCCCTGCATGTCCAGGAGAGCTGGCTGTATTTTGAAGAAGTCTTACAGAGGATGCAGGAACAAACCTTCCCAATTAACATCCCAATGAAGCTCATTGCAATCAGGAGAGGTTCTGGAGGACTGGAAAGGGGCAAATATAGTGCCCATCATGAAGAAAGGGAAGATGGAGGATCCAGGGAATTGCAAACCAGTCAGCCTCACCTCAGTCCCTGGAAAAATCATGGAGCAGATCCTCAAAGAATCCATTTGTAAGCATTTGGAGAAGAAGGTGATTGGATTCACCAAGGACAAGTTGTGCCTGACCAACCTGATTGCCTTCTATGATAAGATGACTGGCTCTGTGGATGTTGAAAGAGCAGTGGACAAGATATACCTTAATTTTAGCAAGGTGTTTTATATGGTTTCTCACAACGTTCTTGCAAACAAGCTAAGGAAGTATGGGCTGGGTGAATGGACTGTAAGGTGGATAGGAGACTGGCCGGATTGTCGGGCTCAAAGTGTAGTAATCAATGACTTGATGTCTAGTTGGCAGCTGGTATCAAGTGGAGTGCCCCAGGGGTCAGTCCTGGGACCGGTTTTGTTCAGTATCTTCATTAACAACCTGAAAGATGGGATGGAGTATACCCTTAGCAGATGACACTAAGCTGTGGGGAGTAGTAGATATGCTGGGGGTAGAGCTAGGATTCAGGGAGACCTAGACTAATTGGAGGTTTGGACCAAAAGAAATCACATGATGTTCAACAAGGACAAGTGCAAAGTCCTGCACTTAGGACAGAACAATCCCATGTACCGATACAGGCTGGGGACTGACTTGCTAAGCAGCAGCTCTGCAGAAAAGGACTTGGGGGTTACAATGGATAATATGCTGAACATAAGCCAACAATGTGCCTTTATTGCCAAGAAGGCTAATGGCATACTGGGCTGCATTGGTAGGAGCATTGCCAGCAGATCGAGGGAAGTGATTATTTCCCTCTGTTCAGCACTGCTGAGACCACATCTGCAGTACTGTGTTCAGTTTTGCCCTCTCCGTCCCACCCCCACCTCCCACCCCCCAGCAGAGGGCAACAAAAATGGTTAGAGGGCTTGGAAATATGACTAATGAGGAGAAGCTGAGGAACCGGGCTTATTTAGTCTGGAGAAGAGAAGACTGATGAGGGATTTAATAGCAGCCATCAACTACCTGAAGAATGGTTTCAAAGAGGATGGAGCTAGACTATTTTCAGTGATGGCAGATGACGGAACAAGAAGCAATGGTCTCATGTTGCAGCAAGGGAAGTTTAGGTAAGATATTAGGAAAAAAACTTTCTCACTAGGAGGGCAGTAAACAACTGGGACAGGTTACCCAGAGAGGTGGTAGAATCTCTATCACTGGAGGTTTTTAAGACCTGGATAGACAAAGCTTTGGCTGGGATGATCTAGTTGGGGATGGTCCTGCCTTGAGCAGAAGTTTGTAGTAGATGACCTCCTGAGGTCCCTTCCAACTCTAATTTTCTATGATTTTGTGATCACAAAAAAAAGAGTGATCCAAATCAATCCCACTTAAAGGCTACAAAACCACTTACGTGCCTAGATTTGTTTGCATTTCTATTTCAGCTTGAAACGATCCCTACACATTTGGGCATGCTCAGACGCAATCTCAACCATCTGTCTGGGCATCTCACTCCTGCCCAAATTCTGTTGTGATCCAAATCCATGGTAGTAGGCACCAATATCCCTTTAGGCAAGGTCAGTGCACACCTAGTGATTGTTTGATACGCCACATATGCACAAAGTACGTTACAAATACAGCTGGAGAAGCTAGTGGGGTGCCTCACATCTTTTGCCCACTTGATTTCCACTTCCTTCTCTGATGTTTGGAAGGGGAAATGATATCAAGGTCTGAAGTTGCTGCCTGCTAGTCACCATGAGTCATTTCAACATTTAACATGTGTCCTCTAAACTCTATTCAAAAAATGTTGCCAGCAACAATTTGCCCTAAATTCACAAAATTTGTTTCCCTTTTATTTTTAATGCAGCTCTATTTTACCTCCTAGGAAACATGCTATTGCTGATCTCAAGTAAAATCATGCTTTATTTCAAGTGCTGACTTTTCGAGATACTGTTACCCAAAGCTCCCTGTTCCTGTTCTTCAGTGTTGTTCATGCAGCTGCTAAACACTTTTCTTATTTTTTCCAGCAAAATTTATGTGCTAAATATTGCTAAATCAGTCTCCAACGTGTTATTTTGCTAGGAAAACATCTTTGTTGCTTTTGCCCTTTTTGTTCAGTACACACAGGAATCCTTGCCAGAACACAGAATGCTCTCTAATGATACAGCACACTAATCCCAATGAGAGCAACAACTCCTTATACATATTTTATATCAAACAAATGAACTACTAAATTTTTTATAGACTGTGCACCATGAAAAGTCACTGTATTATAATTTAGGAATGTCTTTGGCCCACCAGTCAGTTCAATGAGAGCTCTACTTTTTAGATGCAGCTATAGATTTTTGCAGATGCATGACTGAAGGTGGAAATCTCCCAGTACCATCCCTGTCTGGCGGAGAGTTTGTACCTCCTATTATATTTGGATGGTATCCTGTCTCTTCCCTCTTAACCTATTTAGTTGTATCCCCAGTTGCTTCACTTTGTCTTTTACAAATTCTTTAGGACAAAGACTGTTATGTATTATATAGTTGTTCAGCCTAGAAGAATGGGTCCCAATCTGGTTGTGTCCAGTAAATACTGGAGTGATGATGATGATGACAAAGGGATTTGGAACCATATTCTTATTCTTGGCCGATTCATTCTTACACAGCTTCATTGACTACTTTCCACTAACATTTGTGGTATTAAACGCTGCATAACACTACTTCTATATGAGCAGGTCTCCACTGCTGAGGAGGCTCTGTTGTTATGTATCCCAAGTCATACATTCAAATGGGAGGTTACCATATATTTCACATACAACATTCACCATTTCCCCCCAAATCAGCTCCCCACATTTATGGTGCATGCAATAAATGAAGAAAGCCGGGTTTTTTGCCTGGGGTAGAAGCACCATGCTTCAATTCCTGGTCCACAGTGTAGCACAGTGTAGCAGCTGTTGAATTGCTCTTCTGGAGTTGAGGGAGTCCATTCCTTTACTGGCTCATTGTTCTTTACTCCAGAGGTGTTAACGATTCTTTTTAATGCTCTTGATGTTCCATTAATCAAGCTAACCTTTCTAAGGACAATTTTGCTCTCTGCAAACAGCTCCTGGTTTCTCTTCTCCTATTTCACAGCCTTGGACACACGTTAGTTCTTTTCAAAGCTCTACCCAACAGCTTGGTTTCAGCTTTAGTTAAGCAAGAAAAGCAGGGTAAGTCGTGTGAAGATTAGGCTCTGTCCCTGCTTTATGCAGCTATAACTCTGAAAAAAACCTTTTATTCCACCCCCCCCGCTTCTTTCTGCTTTTGAAAAGCAAGATGCATATTATATTCTGGGGCATGTTATACATGATAAAATACAGTAGTTTGATTTTTACATTCTTTAGCCGAGCCAGACATCTTGAGTCAGATTCAAACTGCTTTGCCATTTTTTTTCATTTATTTGTCTTCGCATGTACGTAGATTTGTAACTTCATACACTTTCCATGCTCTTGGTAGTCCTATTGCTCTTTAGTAGTTACCCACTCAGCTGGCAACTAGAGCAAAAATTTGGAACTTACATGTAGAGCCCTAAAAGATCATCTTCCAATGCATATATAACTAACCAGAGAAACATTGAGACTTAGAGATTGTTCCTTCCCTTCCTGTTCATACTAGGATCAACAAACCCATCAGTCGGTTGAGTGGCAAAATATTGTAGCATTAGCGTCTCTGGACTGCATGCTGCTGGTCTAGTACTACAGAGTGATAGCAGTCTGTGTATGTTTACGTGTTTTCAGGGACTACTACATAACCATGGTGAAATGGGCAACGAGTACCAAAGTGGCAGTAAACTGGTTAAACAGGGCACAGAACGTCTCTATCTTGACCCTCTGTGATGCCACCACTGGAGTCTGTACAAAGGTAAGAAATATACTTCAGAGACATTTAAAAGTACTTACCTTTAATATTTGTGATCTGCACTGGGAGAAAATATTTAAACCATTTTATTAGAAAGTGTGTCAGACTGTATACAGACTTGTACAGTGCTTTAGGTAGGCACACATTTGCTTCAGGACATAGTAACATACCGTATCTGAATTTACCGAGCAAGGGAGGGGTTCTGCGCTCCTAGCAGATCTATAGAAAGGCAGTCTCAGTCTAGCCTTCCACAGTGTTTGTGCCTGTTTACATGCTTATGCTATATTAATGTAGATATAAACACACACGCACACACATCTAACAGTGCTGTTTTTAACTTGAGAGTCCTTTTACCATCTGAGTTAATGAAATTACGTTAATCAGAGTCCAAACACGTCTTTTGGGCTGATTCAGGGAAGTTTCTCCCAGTACAGATTCAGTTATGGCACCAGAGAAACCTGCATAGTAATATAGCTGATTTCAGTACAGATACATATATAACGTTCTGAAGTGGCAAAACTTATTCTCATTCAGGGGGAAGGCAGGGTAGATTTGTACCTCATAGTCTAGCTAAATCAGAGATGTATAGCATAAGCTTTTGTGAGTCTGAGATCACTTCATCAGCATCCCCTCTCTCTGCACATTCGGGGGGGATCTTTCTATGTAACTATATCTGTTTATACGCTTATGTAGTGCAAACCCTTTGTGCATGCAAGGTCTATATAAAGATCCTGGGAATAGTGTAATAACAAGTAAATTACTGTCTTACTTTAAGGAGCCATGTGTCTTTTGAATTTCTTCTTTTTGTCCGTTTGAATGGCGTGTCTTCCTATATGAGACTTTGCTTGTTTATCAGAAAGCAACAATAGAAGAACAGGCCCGGGATTATATTCCTCAAGAGCACGCTTGAACAGTTTCTCTGTGCTTGTTCACAACCGTTCAGACTCAGTCAAACTGCTTTCTGCACTGATGAGCAAAATGAAACGCATGCAAACTGTTATTTAATTATGTCATTTCATTTTAGAAACATGAAGATGAAAGTGAAGGCTGGCTGCACAGACAGGTAACAGTGATCTTCCTAACAGAATGTAAAATATACAGGCTCTTCTTATTGAACTAAGGGGCACCTCTGCCTAAAATAGCTAAGATCTCTTTTTCTCTAGGAGGCCCTACTAGTTAAAACCATGGGGTGCCGAAACACATGCTCTGATGTGTTCTAATGTGATTAATTGAGTCTGCTGCAGCGTTCCAATTAGAATGCTCCCGTGTGCTGCAGCATCATGTGTATTCAGCATCCCACATTTTAAAATGGCAGTGGGGGCTCTTTAACTAAAATTCATTGAATGAGCTTTAGTTAAACGGCCCCCGTGGCCATTTTGAAATGTGGGATGCTGAATACATGTGATGCTGCAGTATTTTCATTAGAGTGGCTGTCTGAGAGCTGCTCTAATTAAAACACCCTCCACCCCCCACCCTAGAGCAAGTGTATAAATGCCTGAATTCCCAAAATACGTTTGACTTGAATATAAGCTACCTGAAAAACTACTATTGAATGAGTCACCCCTGCACCAAAAGCCAAGCTAAGACTGATCAACAGCACAAGTCCTCAATAAAATCTTAATTTGGGGCTGATGGTTGTATTAATTGATGCAGTGGCCCTCCACACAGGAGAGAATCAGAATTAAATGATTGAAAAAGTAAGTTTAAAAAGGGCCATTAGGTGAATCCTAAGTAATATTTGAGAGCTCCTTAGTTACCTAGGAACTTTTGAAATGTTACCTCAAATAAACTATTGCAGATACTTTAAATAGAAGAAAAGAGGAAAGGCAAAAAAAATTAAAATGGTAAATTTACGCAACAGTTGAAACCATGAATGCTTACAAGGCAACCTAGAGCATAAAATTGGAAAGGACCTCCTGGGACATCAAATCCAACCTACTTCTATCACAGGGACCACATTTTTTAGAGACTCTGTCATAAGATGATCAAGTTTATACTTCTGAATTTTACATTTTAGTATATCAGCTCAAAAATCCACTTCTGTGCCTTAAAAAAGAGGCTAAACTGAGTATAAGCACTGAGGAAAAAGAAGTGAAGGTCAGTTAGAAACTATAAACAAAGAGTTTAAATTAATTAAAATTAAGATTTATTTTCTAAATAATCATTTGCATTGATCCATACAGGCCCTATTCATCCAACATAATTATTCCTTTCTGAAGTGTAAAAGTTTGTGATAATTAATGTCACTACCTGAGTGTTAGTTTAGGGAACAATCTGAGAGTTGATCAAGTTCCTCCTCAAAGAGAAGCTATTAGTATCAATCTGTTTTTTGTGGCATCTCTGAGTGCCTGACACACAAACATGAGTAAAATAAAAGAACCCATGCTGGATTTCCTCATGCAGAAATGAAGTACAGCACAAATTTGCTGCGATTGGTACAGAAATCCTAAGGATCTAGGAACTCCCATACATAATGAGACCAATATTCCCCTCAGTCTAGAGACTTTCCTTCAGCAATGACTGGTACATGGTCCATGTAAAAACTAACTTTATAGTTAGTCAGATGCCCCAAACTAAAATCTTCTTTTCTCTACCTGAGTTCACGTATAGGAAAGAAAAATAAAAACACCCAGTATAGCTTTTATCCCCACAATGCAATATATATATTAGCCTGGATATGTCGAAAATAGTTCAAAGATGGATCCATTCAAAGGAAAACAAAATTAAATTCCTCTGTTTTAAATATCACAAGATTCACTGGGAGATCTATTTTTACAAGTATGGAACCAGTTTAAATCTCTTCCCTTGTACTTACTGCAATATCTGTCATGCTGTAGTTGAACGTACATATGTACATTTAAAGTACAATACCCTGATTGAGTGCTGAGTCTTCAGAGGGCCTGGACTGAGACACATGTATACCAGGGTAATTCATAACAATTTTGGATACCAGTATAAACTATACCAGGATCTTGAGTGGACAGAAATGCAGCTATCCTGGAGTAGATACAGTAGATGCAGTAGATACTATTACAATGCTTCAAAATTTGGTGATAGAAGAGTGGATTTGCCATGAACAAATTGGTACCTCAGGGCAAGTTGTGAAGAAATGATGGTTATACCAGTTTAATTTATACCACTGCACTTTTACCCTGACTTAGCCCAAGATAATTTCACATTGTAGGACTGTAGTAGTGTAGGACTGTATGTTGGCCATTTATTCCTGTTTGACACTAGTGGAAAGATATTATATATCCAGGTTCAGCACTGTGTATCTGGTACAAAAGTCAGCACTTAAAGTGTGAATACTAGCAAGTTTAATGATAATTTTAGGTGTTCGGTGACTTGCATTATATCGTGTGCTTTACAAAATGGCAAATTCTATTGCTTCTCCTCCGTGCAACAAATGCTGCACCAGGGTTTAGAGAGCCCAAGTTGTTTGTTTTAAAACAATGAGTCTGATATTTCGGTAGCATGCTAAAATATTCATCACAACAGGGTTTTGAGACATTTGGCACAACTGTGCAAATAAGTCCCAGCTGGTTTTCTAGGAGTCTGGAAAATAATATAGGCTCCCTGAATTTACATTCTGGCAATGACACTCTGCTAAGTTTCTGTTTTGGACTAACTGTATGATTATGAGGTTATTTCCTTTTCCTGTTTGTTTTTTCCTCCCATGTTTGTGAACTTAGATAACTATTTTAGCAAATGTGACCAAATATGTATGTTGAACAGCAAGCATTGAGCCCAGCTGGAAATGAAATTCAAATTTCAGACCAAATAGTGAGTCAGCCAAGTGATCAGGACTGCTTAGGCTGAGAGGAGATCCTTCCCAGGAGCAGGAGACAGTAGCAATGACATCCCTGTGATTCTTGTCCGGAGATGAGAACAATTCCTTTCTGTGCACAGCTACTTTTCTGGGGAAATGCCTACTTTTCTGAGTGTTCAAGCCAGAACATTCAGGCCTCTCACAGGCACTCAGCTGCACTCCAAAATGAACATTTAGGTATCTGAAAAACTAGTTGTGTGTGCAACTGCCACAATAATGCTATTGTTAGTCACTTCTCCCAGTCACTGAAGATGTGCAGAACACTGCCAAGCTTTTGCCCAGGTGAGTTATGAACCTAAGTCCCATTTTAAGAAGGCACTTGGACATTTAAGAGTGTAAGGATATAGTTTCAAAAAACATTAAGTTCCATTTTAAAAGCACCTCAAGTCACTTTTGAAAATGGAATTGATTCCTGAGTCATGTAGGAGTTTTTGAAAAATGTTTGTATTACAATTTAAAGATCGCTTTGGACTCCTTTGGCCCCTATCATGGGGAGTTTGCAAAGCATATTAGACATGAAGTAGCAAAGAGAAAAATGTCAATAGACTGGAAGCAGGATGGGAGAAAGATCGGCAAGATTATGTGGATGCTCAGCAGGGAGTGCCAGGAAAATTCCCCTGGGATTTCATGCAAATGTACCAGCAGGTTTGGGTTTTAAGGAAGGCCTGCACTTCTTAAACTGAAAGTGTTTTAGTGCTGAGTCAGATAACTGGGTGAAAATTAATGGGTTGTGAGGTGCGGGTTAGACTGGAGGATCTAATGGTCCCTTCTGTCCTGAAACTGTATGAATTAATTGTATTTAAGTACAAACACTTAGAGATGGTAGACCACCTCAGAGTTTGTCTTTGGAAGAGGCTGGAAAGGATGTAACCATTCAAATCTCCTTAGTGGGAAAACAGAATATAATTGATCAGCGCATAGATCACAAATATATTACCAATGTTTCAGAACATTTCTATGAATCATTAATATTTGTACCAATATAATATGGTGAGAATTCGGCATTAGGCTCCCAAATAAAAGTGACCTAATTTTTATCGGTGCTGTCCACATGTAGCTCCCACTGACTTTGGTAGCATTTGTTGGTGCCTATCACTTCTGAAGATCAGACCTCTTATGTTTAGATACCAAAATGTAGGCATGGCGGCATGACTTTAGGGACTCACCCTGGCAAATATTGTCCTTTATCTATATCTCTAATGAGATGCATAGATAATCTGAAATAGTAATTGTTCCAATTTTTCATGTGCCTTAGCTGTAAAAATCTTTGACCTAAGGCCAATGAGGCAGTTTTTTTTCCAGGAAGCAAGTGGAATGGTCATAGGTAAAAAGTTGTTCTGCCTGGAAAGCAAGGGGAAGGGAACACAGGCAATTTTCAAATGCTAGTTTTGAATGAATTTTAAGGGGGTTTTAATGTATATTTTTGTAAATGTCACCTCACTCTAAATAAACTTGTAAATACGTAGAAGCCAGCGGTAAAATCACGGCAGCAATGAAGTCAGTGAGAGTTTTGCAGTTGACTTCAGTGCAGCCAGAAACTGGCCCCTTACAAGATAACCCACAACACCTCTCACATAAGCTAAACACAGATCTTCTCTTCATTTCCTTCCCCCAAGGTGCATTCTTTATACCAGCTCTCCTGTTTCCATAAGTGCCTTGGCTCAGTCTTGGTCCTAGGCTGAAGAACGTTTCTTAGTTTTTTCTTTTTAGTCTCTTAAATGCTCATTGTCACAGTATAACAGCTCTGCTAGTGATTCATGCATAGCACAACTCACATTTTTCAGTGTAGTTTCAATGGTCCGGAAACTAAAAACATGGGTGGCTTTGTAAACTTTTGCACTCGCCTTTCTGTGTTGTTTTGCATTTAAAAGCGTTGAAGTATAGAAATGCATCTCCACGTTGCTGTCACCATGTAGTTCCTAGAGACCACGGAGCACAGCAGGGACAGAACTAAGTCTCATTATTCAACAGCATGGGCTCTATCAATAGGGGTAGAGGAAAATCTCCTTTAGCAGAGAGTAGCACCGGGCCTATGGCACTTAGTTGAGCAGTTCTTCTTTTATCCAGTAGAGGGGAGTGATACACAGAGACACACACACATGTGTGCTAACCAATTCATGACAGCACTTATCTTATGTAATAATATTATCGGTGGCAGGCCCTCTGGCCTCAGAGATGGACATCAACATATTGTCTCAACCTCACAAATCAATGCGGGGGGAAAGAGCCTCAGGGGTGAATGAGGCAGGCATCTTAACACCATAGCCTCAGGGATAAAAGTGGTAGAGGTGGGGGTGAGCTTGCTCCCATAGTCCCAGGGATAAGGGGCAGGTGAGTGGGCTTTTTTGAAAGGCTCGACACTTCTCACTAATACAAAAGCACAATAGAGACATTGGAGCAAATCATACAAATGCTAAGCCCAGAAAAAAAGTGAACTTCAAAGTGTCAAAAAGCTGCAGTTGGCTATCACATTCCTGTAGTTGTTGCTGAAACATTCAAACCATGTTTGAATTCAAATCCTTAGTGAAGCCATTTCCCTGTGACATTGTGAATTAAGGAGACTGCCACCAAAAAATGGACATGGCACCAAAACCCACACGAGCAACTCCATTTGTTGCGAGGCCAGAACTGAGGTGTGCCAGGCAGACAAATGAGAGGGCATCAACGCAGCTATAGAAGGAAGGCTGAGTCCTTGAGATTATTGGTCTGTGTGAAACTATAAGACCCCAGTCTGTATAATAAGCAAAAGCAGCGTAATTGTAATAAAGCTATATGCAGCAATAAATAAGTGCACATCTGACTTGACCTCAACCCGGCCTGAGAGCTGTCCACTTTTCCACCAGTTTGCATGCAGAACTGTTATGGCAGTGACAAGATTGCAGCTGTATTTTGCTAGGTGTTGTATATGAAAACTATAAGAGCCAGTCTTTGCCTCAAAGAGCTTGCCAACCTAACTAGATAAGGTGGGAGGAAGAAGGGAGACATAAAGCGATTTACCTCAGGTCACATGTCAAGTTCAATGGTCAAGATGAGAATATAACCTCTTGAATTGGGTGATCTTTCCTCTCACCAAATGTGTGACTTCTTCCATCCAGTTTCCCCCCAGGAAACACAATTTACTCTTCTGTCCATTCCTTAAAATATTGTGGGTGGGGTTATGCTCGTTCTGGGGTTTTTTAAATGTGTTTATTTGTTTTTATCCTCCTTCCAGTTCGATTTTTGTTCTTATCTCGGTAAGGTGAAAAGGCTGTGCACGTTAGTGTTGACTCAGGGTGGGTGTGTTTTCAAGATCCATGGTGAGGCTTCCTGAAGACTATTTTATCTCAGGAATGTGTCCCATTAGCATTGCTCTTCGTGTGCTACCCATGCTGAGTCTCTATAACACAACTGCTGAGTTTGTAATGAAAATTGTGACTGTATTAACAGGAAGTCTTTCCATGAGCAGATACATCCAAATAGAGCACTCATATCATCAGAGAACCACTGATGGATGGCAGTAATCATTTGTATGGTGCACATCCTTCCAGCATGTCTCAGAATAGGTTCAGTGGTCTGTTAAAGCGGTCTGTTCAAGGTCTAGTTTCATTGCAGAGAAACATTGCTAGAATTGATAGTACAATAGCCATAGGTACAGCAATATGGGGTAAATCTACAATTGACTTCTCTGGAGCGATGCCTCTTTACACCAGCAGATCATTTGGTCCACATGACGAGAGGCTGAAAAAAATAGGATGGTTTAGTCTGAAGAAGAGACAACTGAGGGGAGCTTCAGAATCATAGAAAAGTAGGGCTGAAAGGGACCTCTAGAGGTCATCTAGTCCAACTCCATGCCTGAGGTAGGATCATCCCTATCCATACCATCCCATATAAATCCACTGTCTGACCTATTAGCAGCCACAAGACATACCACCTTAATCTGCTACAGGTAAAGTATGGGGACCATTGTGGCCAACGTCCCGCTGCTGCAGAGGTAGCTCAAATACATTCGAGAGATCCAAGAAAGATGGCCACACCATTCCTCTTTTCCACACCTCCCTCCCCCATTACAGAAGAAGACCCCTCACAACCCATACCAATCCAATCACAGAGTAAAATTTCTTTGGTAAGTCTTCAAATACCTGAAAAGCGATTACAGAGGAGATGGAGATAGACTTTTCTCCATGACAGTAGGAGATAGGATTTATTTAGGAGCAATGGCCTCAGGATTCAGCAGGGGAAATTGAGGTTGGAGATTCGGAGGAACTTTCTGACTATGAAGGTGGTCAAACAGTGGCGCAGGTTACCTGCAGAAGTGGTGGGCATTTTCAACCCCAGGTTAGATAGACACGTGGCTGGGATGATCCTGCCCTAAGTAGGCAACTGAACTATGCCCCTTCCAGCCACAGTTTCCTCTGATCTTACATTATTTTGCTATTGGGTTTTTTCCTCTTCTCTTCAAGGACTCTGAAATGAAGCTGATAGATTTTCATATTTAAAGTTCTAGGAGATGTTCAAAACAGATTAAACTTAATGTTGTGACATTTTAGCAAGCAAACAATGGCCACGCTTCTTTTAGAAAAGTACTGAACACTGAGCAAGGAAAAATAAAAATGAAGCCAGGCACTTTAGTACCCCCAAAGTAGACCTTTTCAATCTAACACTAATAGAAAGTTAAATAATTAACAGCTAATTAGCAAAGGGAACTAAAGAAAGAGCAGCGTGTCAGCAGTTCTGAAAAGAAACTAAATTTCCTGTGGAAGGCTCCCACACGCCCAAGGGCTGCTATACGCACTGTTTCATTTCCTTCGGCAACATGCAGGATCTGTCTGAATGAAAGTTGTATAATAACAATAAAATAATTCCCTGTCTGCTCAGGCTGTTGTTTTTTTCATCTGCATTAGTTTGGCATGGTATTTTGAGATGTGGTCATAGTGAAGCCTGGGTGTCAGCCACCTCTGATGACTCGTTAGCTGCTGAAGACCCAGGAAGGCTGACCAAGAGCATTCCTCTATTGAGCACTTCAGAGAGGGAAGCACTTATAAGCACAGCCCAGGATAGGTGGAGTGGAAGAACCTTGTCTCTACTCTGATGAATGCATGATAGATTCTTCTTCAATATACTTCATATCTGGCTTCAAGAGATTAAGTTTTTGCTTTAGTAACAGGCCTTGTTGCCATTCAAGAGATGGAACAAAAAAGCTACAACTAGCCTCAAAAGGCAGAGCTAATGATTTTTGTCGCCATTAGGTGCTATATGTATCAAAGTCTATTGCAACCCCTTGTAGTCTGCTCTGTAACCATCTCCTGGAGTGGAAGGCCCCCAGATGCCTGTGGATTCCTGTAGTATAAAAGAAAAGAAAGCGGCCTCCAGAAAAGACTGGGTTGCCACGTGCACTGTTTGATTTCCTTGCACAGAACCCGGTCTCTGTCTGACTGAAAGTCATAATAATCACAGGAAAATCAATCATCTGGTTCACCTGGGAGCTTTGTGTCAAAGACATTTTTGAAAGACATTCTTTTTTCCTCCCGCTTGTAAATAATTTTGCAAATTAATCATCTGTACGGAGGTTGGAAAGGAGACCGAATTAGATTCTGAAAGACAGGCTGGTGATGTTTCTTTAAGGACATATATGCAAAACGATATGCAGCCCAAAGCAGCTCTTCCAGCTGAATAAACAAGATTGGCCAAACAAATATCACCAAATTGCAAATCTGTTTAAGGTCTATATTCCAGTTTTCCCCTGGCAGCCTTCTCTCCATGAATGTATGAGCTATTTTTGCTTTTGCAAATGGGTATTGACTTTGAAGCCACAAGTGCTGCTTCGTTGCCAGTTTCGTTTTGCTCCCAGAAGAGGCCAGCAAAAAGATGGCTGTTTTTTTCTCAGCGAATTAAAAAAAAATGCAAAAGTTATAAGAATTTGTGTCCGTTTTTCTGTTTCTAGAAGGCTTAATGCTCTTAAACTGTTTTTAGAAAGTACATTTTACTTCCCTTCAGATTAAATTAACATTTTTTTTTACAAGTTAATAAACCCCCCCAAACATAAATGATAATTATGTATAATTGACATTTGCAGAATGAAGAGCCAATCTTTTCGAAGGATGGTCGGAAGTTTTTCTTTGTCCGAGCCATTCCTCAGGGTGGACGAGGAAAGTTTTACCATATTGCTATGTCCTCATCACAGGTAAATCACCCAATGTTTATGTTGTTGTTAATTAGAATTGATTAGACTGTGTTATGACTATCATTTCTATGTTAAGACCAGAGACACAGCAGTACATGCAGGGAGGACCTGGATCCCTCTCAGAATAAGTATTTGCTCCTTAATTCAAGTAAATGCTAGTGGTAGTGGATAGCTAGTCACCAGCAGATGATGCAGCCCACTTAGAATATAAACATTTACAAATGTCCAGGCAGACAAGGTTCCTTGGGTGAATTTGATATCTTTTATTAGACCAACCCAAATAGTTGGAGAAAAGTTAATTAACAAGCTTTCGGGTTCAAAAACCCTTCGTTGGTCTAATAAAAGATATCAAATTCACCCAAGGAACCTTGTCTATGTCCTTAGACCAACACGGCTACAACCTAAACCCCTACAAATGTCCAGCACATTTCAAATAATCTCCCTGTTTTGTATATATTTTTTAATAAAGCACCTCCTTCATCAGTCAGTGAATCACATGAGAGGTTATTATCTGCAGGGCAGATGCCCTCTAGGCAGAACAGGTCATAGGAAAGAATTGTAATCTGTACTCTCTCCAAGTCACCCCATTACCTTCAGTGGAGTTTTGGAAAGGATCACTCTTTTTTTTTTTTTAACTATTCTTATGTCTCTATAGAAATATTTTGTATCCGTTCACAAAATCATGATTATCTTAAATCATGGAATCACGTCAGCTTCATATTTTGAGAGAAAAAAAATAGACTTTGATAGAATTGTTTGATGGTCTTCCTTGCAGAAAGAAGAAATCTCATGCTTTCTGTTTTTTGGCAGCCCAACAGCAGCAGTGATAACTTACAGTCTATTACATCTGGTGATTGGGACGTAACAAAGATTTTGGCGTACGATGAAAAGAGGCATAAAATGTAAGTAAAGTGGTGGGGGTAAATGACTCAGTGAAGAGGCTCCCAACTTTTAGTTTCTGCTTCTACAGCTGGTTGCTCTACAGTTGCCATTTTGAAAATATCTGAAGCCTTTTTATGTGTAAAGATAAAAGCACAGGCAAAAGAAAAATGTGGACTACATCTGATTTTGGCTTAAGTGCTAGTTTAAACTGGAATATATCAGTTCAGTCTTGCCTTATGTTTTTCTTTTTTCCCACTCATGCTGTTTTTAATAACTAATCTCATTTTGGTATCAGTCAGAGAAGGAGGTCAGAGAGTGTATTTCATCACCAACAACTTTTAATGAAAATCTTTGAAGATAGAGCTCTGTGTCATTTAACAGGTCCTGTTACATATAGTCCTCATAGTGTCAAAAAGAAACATTTTTGGCTGTCAAAATATTATTGGATTATGTAAATGTTTCTAGTCAACCAACTGACATAAGATTTTTCAAGTCTCCATTGTTTCCATCTTGTTCCTTTATAATCATGAAATAAGATGCGTCAGTTCTTGGTTTTGTCCTAAAATATCAGCAAAATAAAGTAAAAGAGTAGTCTAAAAATATTTCTTCTGATTCATATACTTTGTATTTGCCTCCCATGCCCCCACCCTGGAAGTTTCAGTGAGATACAAGATCCCAAATTCTAGACATGGCACATTTAAAATTGGTGTTATCCAAATTCACCATTAAATAGCTGGGTCAAAAGGTGTTAGACCATCCCAACTATTGAATTGTTAATTGTTATAGCTTAGTGCCCAGTGCTGTAAGGCCCTGAACACCTTTCATTCCTATGGACTTCACTGGGAATGGAGAGTATGCAGCACTTGGCTGATTTGTGCCCCAATTTATGGGATTAGTTGCACTGGAATTTTAGTAAGTAGGTGCAGGAACCATCCTGATGCACAGGAAGACTAGCAAGTAAGGCAGAAGACCAGCTTGCCTTGTCAGGGAGCTCTTTAGGGAGCTAAAACACAAAGAAACACTTACAAGAAGTAGAAACTTGGAGAAAAGACTTGAGAGGAGTATAAGAGTATTGCTTGGGCATGCAGAGATGAAATCAGGAAAGCCAAAGCACAATTGGAGTTGCAGCTAGCAAGGAACACAAAGGGAAGCAAGAAGGGTTTCTACAAGTAAGTTAGCAACAAGGCTGAAGTGCTCAATACCTTTTTTACCTCAGTCTTCACAGGCACGGTCAGCTCCCAGACTAGTGCACCTGGCAGCACAGTTTGGGGAGGAGGTGAGTAGCTGACAGTGGCAAATGACAGGTTACGGACTGTTTAGAAAAGCTGGACATGTACAAGTTCATGGGGCCAGATGTGATGCACCTGAGGGTGCTGAGGGAGTTGGCCGGTTGCAGAGCTGCTGGCCATTATCTTTGATAACCCATGGTGATCAGGAGAGGCCCCAGATGATTGGAAAAGGGCAAATATAGTCTCCATTTTTTAAAAAAGGCAGGAGGAGGATCCAGGGAACTACTGACCAGTTTGCCTCACCTCAGTACCTGGAAAAATCATGGAACTGGTCCTCAATTTATAAGCACTTGGAGGAGAAGGTGATGATGTATGGGCTGTAAATTGGATAGAAAGCTGGCTGGATCATTGGGCTTTAAGGGTAGTAATCAATGCTTCAGTGTCTAGTTGGCAGTTGGTATCAAGGGGAGTATCCCAGGGGTTGGTGCTGGGGCTGGGCTGTAAATTGGATAGAAAGCTGGCTGGATCATTGGGCTTTAAGGGTAGTAATCAATGCTTCAGTGTCTAGTTGGCAGTTGGTATCAAGGGGAGTATCCCAGGGGTTGGTGCTGGGGCTGGTTTTGTTCAATATCTTCATAAGCAACCTGAAAGATGGGACAGAGTGCACCCTCACTCATCAAGTTTTCAGATGACATCAAGCTGGGGGGTAGGTCTAGGATTCAGGAAGACCTAGACAAATGGAAGATTGGACCAAAAGAAATGTCATGAGGTTCAATAAGAAGAAGTGCCAAGTCCTGCACTTAAGATGGAACAATCCCATGCACCAGTACAGCCTGGGGACTTGATAAACAGCGGCTTTGCAGAAAAGGACCAGGGGGTTACAGTGGATAATAAGCTGAATATGAGCCAACAATGTGCCCTTGTTGCCACGAAGGCACAGGTACATTAGTTGGAGCATTGCCTACAGACTGAGGGAAGTTAGTCTTTCCCTCTATTCAGCACTGATAAGGCTACATCTTCACTACTGTGTCCAGTCCAGTTTGGGCCCCCCAACTACTGAAAGGATGTAGACATATTGGAGGGGATCGAGCAGAGGTCAACAAAATGGTTAGGGACTGGGACACATGGCTTATGAGGATAGGCTGAGGGAACTGGACTTATTTAGTCTGCAGAACTGAAGACTGAAGTGGGGATTTAATAACAGCCTTCATCTACCTGCAGGGGGGTTTGAAAGAGGATGGAGCTGGACTGTTCTCCATGGTGGCAGATGACAGAACAAGGAGCAAAGGGCTCAAGTTGCAGCAAGGGAAGTTAGGTTAGATACTAAGAAACACTTTCTCACTAGGAAGGTAGTAAAGTGCTGGAACAGGTAACCCAGAGAGGTGATGGAAGCTCCATCCTTGTAGGTTTTTAAGACCCAGCTAGACAAAGCCTTGGCTGATAGGATATAGTTGGGGCTGGTCGTGCTTTGAGGGGGTTGCACTAGATGTGATGTCCTGAGGTCCCTTCCAGCCATCATTTTCTATGATTCCATGATCTTGACTTTGCATTTTCAAATAAAGTTGGCCACCCCTTACAGAGTTAGCTATCTCCAGGACATAAGACACTCCTTAATTGTAACCTCAGGAAGCTGGTGCCTTTATTCTTCTCAAACAGAAGTGGAGCTGACTGCAGCATCAATGGAAAGCTTGGACAGTGAGAATCCTTCCAAATTTAAGCTTTCTCTTCCCTCCCTCCTTCAAGCAGAGACTTTGAAAGATATTGCAGGTGACTGAAGTTGAGAGTTGGCCAAAACCGTCAGAAGTTATTGGAAGAGTGGGTTTTTTAATCTCACAACAAAAAGTATTTAAAAGTATTTTAAATACCAAGTGTAGCGTTCTTTGCATCAGCCATCTTCTTTTGGTGTGCAGCTGTCACGCGTACTTCAGCACTGAAACATTTTCAATGGACTTAGTTGCAATACAGCTTACCGAACATGGATATCCTCTACTGTGGAGAGGTCACTCCCACTTATTTTTGTAAAGGGATGAAATGATAAAGCCACAGATTTTTGCAGGATCATGTACAGGATCATGGAAATATTTTCAGGGTGTCTGTGTGGATGGAGATGTAAATAATGTATGTGTAATTCCCCACCCCAGAATCTAATTGTCTCTATTGTACTTTACATTTTTAGTTACTTCCTCAGCACAGAAGATTTACCCAGGAGGCGGCATTTATACAGGTATGTTTTTTGTCCTTTTATATGCAAAATATGAAATTGGTCCCATTCTAGAGGACGTGTAACACTTAAATGGAAACCGTTTCAAATGCAATTTAGTTTCCCCTGCACAGAAATAAGCCTGCATACATTTGCATTTTGTGTAATCATATTAGCATGTTATGGAAACCTAACAAAATCACAGAAATGTTGGGGCTTAAAAACAAGCAGAATCAGCTGGACATTATTTGCAAATGCTTTTTCTCCAATTTCACACAGCTTCAATATGTTCTCAACAGCGGTACAACGAACAAGTGAGGGCTAGTTGACATGCAAGTTATCTGCATGACAACTGATAAATAAATTGCTGTGGGCTTAGGAGCAATGAGTCTGTTCTTAGATGTACTTGTTTCAGCCCCCGAGCTCCAGAATCCAGCCTCTTTTTTGCCTCAGACCCCAAGCACTCTAAAATGTTCATTTGCTAATCCTCACACCTTGAGAGGGACGTGGGAGGGAGGGTAAGGGAAAGTAGCACTATTCTCATTCTACAGATGTAGAAATAGAGGCATATACAGGATACGTCTCTGGTGTATCCTTCACCTCTGGCCCTCACACTGCTTCCTTTGGCTGTTTTCCCGTATCCACTGTGAAGAGCAGGGGCAGTGCTGAGCTCCTTTTGGCTGCCAGCTTGTTTACCTCCTGTAACATGATGCAAAGTTTTCCTCCCAAGTGGGAATGCAAAGCAACAAACTGAATTACTTGTGATTTAATTATGTCTTTCCTTCCTCTGCCTCTGTCCGCTGAGCTCAGCGGTGCTTTGAGAGGCTTGGCGTTCAACATCCATTTTTTAAATTAAAAAATCACATCAAATCTGCTCAGGCCATTCATTTGTATTATAGTGAATAAAGCTAATTTTCTGCGAGAAATCTCCACTGTAAGCATTGGCCTGATGCAGACTATTTCCACCATCCAGACCTAACTAGTCTCTGCAAGTAGCTACTGTACACTAACTTGCTGGGACTCAAATAAATTTTCTTGGCTCCCCTGAAGTCGCAAGGGCTCTGACAGTTTATAGCATGCAAGTCTCTGGCCCCCAGTTTGTAAACCCTGGTTGAAAGTATCAGCAAGTTAACAAAGCACAGCGAGGTAAAAGAGAGTGCAGATTGAGCACACATCAGCTGATGTCAGGAGCTGTCATGCGTGCCTGCTCTCACTTCATAGTAAGTGAATGGGAAAGTAGGGCAGCTTCCTCCTGTTTTGTTGAGGACTGAACTGTCCTGCTGTAGAGTCAACTTCCTGCAGGGGAAGAGAGGATTAATACAAAAAGTCCCTGCTGCTTTGCAATTTGCTGTTCTTTCTTTGCTTGTCCATCCCCCTAGTAAATGACCCAGGCCTCCCTTCATATGGAGAGAACAAGCTAGTGCCCAGAATGGGAGCAAAGGACTAATGCAGTAGAGCCCAGGGTTTTGGCCCTGCTGGGTAGGTGAGTGGCATGGGGTCAGTCTACAGGCTGGATCCTGCATGGGGCTAGCACATGGAGTCAGTCCTTGGTCCTGAGCCTGTGCTGCCCGTGCCCCATGTGTTTGGATCTGGCTGCACACTGGCACAGTCTGGTGTGCAGGTCCACATTATCCAACCCGCAGGGCTTTCCAAGGGTCCAGACATTTGGCAACAGGGGAGCAGGATTGAATACTGCTCTTGCTCCCCTGTCACCAAATTTCTGGACTCTTTGGATGATGCAACTCCGGCCCAAATTTGCCCCACTGTCTCAGGGTTGAGCACTCCTGGTCTAGTGAATCCTAACCTCAGCTCTGCCACTGCCTGTCTCGGTGGCCTTGAACTAGCCTCAGAGTGGGTGTGGACATGTAACACTTTACACCAGAGTAATTCGACTTCAGTAAGTGACCTATGTACAGTCTTATATACAAGGCTGTCCCACCTGGCCATTACTCTTTCTACTGCTCCTGTTGTGTTTGGGGTCTCCAAGCTCCCTTTCCCTCCTCCAACTTTGGTTTCCTGTCCCTGCCCCCATGGGTGGCACGGTGGGGCTCGCAAAGGCTGAGGGAGCCCACGGTCCAGGCAGAGGGAGGTCGCCCTACTTGTACTGCCCATGTGGCAGTGGAGATCCCGTTGGCGGTCCTGATATAAGTTTTTCCTCCAGGGTAAAGTTACACAGGTGTACTAAGTGTGTGTCCATTCCCACTGTCTTGTTTCCATCCAGTACAAGCCAACTCTCCTCTCATTCTAGTGGGCAGGTACTATTGCTCCAGGCTTGGGAGAGCTGGTCATGAAGCTGCTCCTTTCTGTAAAGTAAATTACTCTGTAGTAATTGTGCAATGTGTCCACATCCAGCATCTCTACTTCAGTTTTGCTACCCATAAAAGGAGACTAATACTTCTTCCCTATGTTTCTGTAAAAAAATGTAAAGCTGAAAAATTGCAACAGGAGTGCTGAGTATTACTATTTCCCATCCTTTAGCCTGCAGTGTCCTACTGTTTAGTGCTCTTGAGGACACAAACAGGTCAGGCTGTCTGCTTTAAAAAAAAAAAGCAGCCTGAACAGCATCTTTTCTGTCTACTCGAATGTTGTGATTACCAATCCACAAGCTCTTATACAAGTGGATAAGGAGACCACGGTCCAGGAGGCAGCCACCAGCGAGTCAGTGCCCCTTTATCTATAATAAATATCATCTGTTATAGAAACACTGTGCCCTAATTTCTGTTGGTCTATTTATACTGCAAATGCAGCTGCAGCCATTATTTCCTGGAAAGCTGTGCAGCTGCTATACAGCCTGTCCTTGAAAAAAATAAAACCAAAGAAAAAGGTATCAGTACCCTTTTATATTATTTTTCCATGTGGGCAAAAAAAAAGTGCCATTACTTCTATTTAAACTCTGTTGAGTTTAAATAGAGGTTTCTCTTAGGTATGCTGGACACATTATACTTCGGTTCTACAGTGCAATCAAGTTCCAGAATATTGCTTCAGTGTAATCCCTGCTCAGTGACCTTCATGGATATGCATTAATTTTTTCAGTGCAAGCACAAATGGAAACTTCAACAGGCAGTGTCTGTCATGTGATCTGATTGAAAATTGTACTTACTTCAGCGCCTCATTCAGTCACAACCTGGACTACTTCTTACTGACCTGTGAAGGTACTTTTGTTTCTTGTATTGCTAAGGCTAGATTTTTGAGCAGGCTTAGACCAAGTTTGTAGGCGCGTGCAAAAAAAAGTGAGCCAGCAGCACAAAGGTGGGTCATCTTCAAATGTATGTTTTGCTGGATAATTTACAAACTATGTTTTTGGGAAAAAAATCTTAGTCTTCACTGATAGCAAGAGTGCTCTGTAGTTACACTATGTAATGAAGCCTGGATCTGCTATAGCTTGTTACGTGATGGGTGGGCGAATGGGGCATGAGCCATTGGGGAGCTGTCTGAGGGTGAAGGTGTGAGAATAAAGCTAAGGGGATTCCTCACCCTCCAGTCCCCCATCCTCTCCTGTCCCCCTTACCCTGCATCTTCCCTGCAGTGGCTCTGACTGGCTCTGACAGCAGGGAGGTCAGAGAAGCAGAAGTGGCAGCAGTGCAGGAGATGACAGGACCCCAACAGAAGTGAAGCCCTGGCCATGGCTCCTTCTACCACTACTGCCACCGGGGCCCAGTCCTGGCCAGTTACACCTCTGGTTTGTTATATTCAGAGTAGAGATCAGAGGTAAAATTCCCAGAAGCACACATCTCACTTTCAAAATGACTTAGTATACAGAGAGAGGTAATAATTTCATTGTGATCAAAGGACACCAACATAAACTGTTGCAATGCAACTGTTGACCGCATAATCCTGTATTAAGACGAGCATATCAAAATGCTGCATGCTTCATTCAGGGTGAAATCTACAGCAATTTAGCTCGCTTATGGCACTCCAAAAGCATTCAGAGGCAGATGTTACAGCGTGAGCTGATGCTCCCTCTCCCCTTTTAAAGTACCCTATTTACCCAAATCCAAGATGATTTCAAATTTAAGATTACCCCCCCCCTCCCCCAATACTTAGATTCTAGACATGGAAAAAGCATAAATGTGTTATCATTTTCCATATAGAAAATCTAATTATTGCAAGGTCACCTTAAGTTTGTCCCTACCCACTGCTTCAATGGGGGCAAGCAGTGCTAGGGAGGCAGGCAGCAAGGCAGTCAGGTGGCCTAACCTCTGCCCTTTGCTCCCTGTCCCTCCCATCACTTGTGCCCTTGGTGGGGTCGAAATAGACTACAGAATGAACTTGAGCCACCAGTGTGGTGCCATAGCTGGCAGAGCAAATCAAACACTGGCATGCATCTACCCATGCATCTCAGGCAGGACTAAGGGTGTCATCCTCCCACTCTACTTGGCCTTGGTGAGACCACAGCTGGAGTAATGCATCCAGTTCTGGGCACTGCATTTCAGGAAGGATGTGAAGAAGCTTGAGAGAGTCCAAAGGAGGGCCATGCGCATGATTAGAGGTCTGGAGAGCAGGTCATGTGAGGAGAGGCTGAAAGACTTGGGACTGTTCAGCCTGGAGAAGAGAAGACTCAGAGGGGACTTGGGGACAGCCTATATCAGGGACATATATCAGTGCCTGGAGGACCATCTGTTCACCAAGGACCCTCAGGAGAATACAAGAAACAATGGGCACAAACTGATTGAAGAGCGCTTCAGATTGGACTTAAGGAAAAACTGCTTTACAGTTCCAGTGCTGAGCATCTGGAACAGACTCTTCCCCCTTCCCTGCCCCAGAGGTGGCACAGTCATCCACCCTGGAGATCTTCAAAAAGCGTCTTGACGCCCACCTTGCTGGGGTCATCTGATCCCAGCAGTCTTTCCTGCCCAAGTGCAGGGGGGCTGGACCTGATGATCTTGTAAGGTCCCTTCCAGCCCCTAACATTTATGAATCTATGCTTGTCCCCTAGTACCTGCCCCCTCCACTCCTTTCCTCCAGCCTGCCCCCCCCCGCACTGTTTGCCCCGCAAAACCAGTTCCCTTATTTGCTCCCCCACGCCTGGCCCCCGTTTCCTCCCCACACCTACCCCCCACCATGCTTACACCCCTACCTATGCCTCTGATGCTTGCAGGTGGGACTGCAAATCCAAATTGTTAATTGTAACTACAGTTTCCCACCCATTGTTTTTTTCTTTGTATAATTAAATATATATTTTTTTTTAATTATTTATTTATTTATTTTTTATTTATTTACTTTTTAAGAGTTGTTTGGGGGATTGTGGGAGAAGGTGGTTGTGAGGAGGGATTTGAAGAAAAGTTTATTGGTCCATAGCTTCCAAGGAGCTACAGCCTGGGAGAAGCGGGTTACCTCGGTAATGCTCCATGGGCTCATCACCACTCGTTTACCCTTGCCAAACTGTATTAGGAACATATTAGAAATAAATACACTGTCTGTTTCCTTCTGTCATGCTACAGTTCTGCCTAATTCCATACAAATGGGCCAAATTACATCTCCCTTATTTAGGTTGCTGAGCAATTACTCCCACCAGTCATCCCACTGTGATGAATCAGGGTGCTCTAATGTGTCAATTCTCACCAAAATGTGCAACCCAAAGCAAACATAACAAGACTAAAAGTTTTCAAAACCAAAAGCAACAAAGATCTGTGTGCAGGCAAGGTGCACACAAGTATCTAGTGTATGTGTGTGCAAGTCCAGTCGGTTGTCCCAATGCAGTCAGGTACCTTATTGGTGAATGTGAGCAATCTGGCAGTAAGGCTAAAGTCCTTCTCTGATTGTAAAGTGCTCCTTGTGACCCAAGAGCTGTTCAGGATTTCTGAGGAATGCCACAGACAAAGAGGATTTATAATTTGAAGCTTACTTAGGACGTTACAGAGCAAATAGCTGGAAGGAATGAGCTGAAATTGAGGAACCTGGAACTTAGCCTGAATACCAAGCAAAGCTTCTGAACTGAGAGATGTAAAAATGTGGAGTATCCTTTCCAAATAAATGGTATAGGGCATTTATAAGTAAACTAGACAAAGTGTTGGACAGTGAAACAATCCTGCATTGTAATTGTATTCTACAATATTGAAAGATTTTACACAGAAGGAAAATTGACTGAAAACATCTACTAGTATGGAAAATATCACATTTGCCAAGTTTGTCTTTTGACAAGAAAAGCCTTCTAGATTTTATTTTTTTAAATCAGTTTACAGTGGCAATCAACAACGTTGTCTCTTATACAGAACATTAATTTTTTGAAATAATTAGACCCACATATGAATAAGATTAAGCTTCCAAAAGAGTCTTATCAACATGTTACATTCTAGCCAATTTACAATAAGGCTGCAGTGATACCTAGACAGATTAATGTATTTTATTAGACGGTACATCCCAGCATTAATCCAAAAGCACAAGATAATGAGTTCCTGCTAACGCATTCTAGGTCACATCCTCTGCTGGTAGAAACATAGCTCAAGTGACTTCAGTACGCTTATGCTAATTTGTGCCAGTTGAGGGCCTGTTCTTCTGTATTGTGAATGCAAAGGATTATGTTCTCGAAGTGCAATCTCACCCCTGTCTTAATGATGGAATCACTACCGACATCTCCATAATGGGGTATGTTAGGAAAAATATGTCCATATGAGAAAAGATCAGGATCCTGATTCGCTTTTCACATACATCAGTTGAAAAGTAGATTTTACATTTGCTAGCACTGTGCTCAGCAAGGGTGGTTGGGAAGGAACGTATGAATTTTCTTATATTTCTTTCTGTTGAGCTGCTGAATTATTAACACTATGCTGATATGGTCCATTTGGGTTGTCTGAACCTTCTCCTTATCACTGAATAAAAGTAACTGTGAAAGAGGTGAATTCAGCAAGCTGTAAATTCTCTAACTGGAGAACAAACCATTGACAAGCCCCCTCACATGCATACACATGTGTACGTGCGCGCACGCATGCACACCCCCACCCAAGCCTTTGACTTGCGCTGGCATTTTCAAGGCAGACACATACCCGGGAGAATAAGTTGATATCTACAGGACTCCAGTGGCTTAAAAACAGGTTTAGGATAGTTTATTATGGAAGAGGTTATGTGGGCCAGAATTAGAGTTGGTGACTGGTAACTAAGGTCTCTGCTACACATCATACTAAAGGTATGATTAACCAATTAATCACATCTTAAGTTGTAACCCGGACACACATTCAATCAATTAATGTGTTGGTAAAACAAAGAATAAGCCACAGTTTTTCCACAAAAATGTGTAATAACTTTGTGGCTGGTTCCTGTCACACCATTAATTGAACGTGTGCCCAGGTGGACCCATCAGCTGCTGAGACACCCAGCTACAAGGGTGCAACTAATCTGGGCCCCCACCTGCAGGGGTGCAGCACCATCCATCAACTGACCAAGGCTCTCAGCTATGGGGCACATGGTCCATTCCCATGGCTTGGACCCTGCAGCTGATCTGGGCTCCCATCTGCGAGACCACATTGTTTGACCTGAGGATGAGAGCCCTGTCAGCTCATGGACCTCCCAGCTGTGAGACCTAGCTCCTTGCCAGTGCAGGGGAAGCCTCAGATTGTGAACCCAGGCTCTCCCTGCACTGGCAATAAGGCGTGATGGGATCTGGTGCATGACCGTAAAACACCTGGGGCCACATCCACCTATTAGTCACCAAAATGGTCTTTGCCACCTAAATGTGATCCTATTCCTAGGGTTGGCAAGACAGTCAATTGACCGATCAATATTGTCAATTGACCAGTCAGTTGCCCACATATTTTTGACCGGTCAAAGCTTATAGTGGTTTTACCCCCCAAAAATCATTTTTTGTAGTTGTCTTGAAAGAAATATGATTTTTTATTGTTTTTTCACACATTTTGTAATGGAAAATTTGTGCCTTTTCTGTGTTATTTGGGCTTATTGGCAATTTTTTACAATCTTGGACCAATATTTGAGCAGTCAATTGACTGAACTTTATTTCACAGAACAAATACCCAACCCTGCCTATTCTACCCTGCTCATGTCTCTGGAAAAGAGTAAATGCAATAGGTCAATGGGTCCTTCTGTACTGTTGCAGTACTGCTGTACTTCTCCCTCAGTGACCGTCTTAAGGTTAAGATGATGTTGTGTTACAAATACAGGCATGTCAGGAATGTGAGCAGGGTGGAACAGGATTACACTT